CGAAGACGAACTGGGCCTGATACAACCCTTTTCGAGGAGCTCGTCTAACCGCTTGCGCAGCTCCTCTAACTCTCTTGGGGACATTCTATACACAGCCCCCTTAGGAGTCCCACTGCAAGGCTCTATCTCAATGCGATGCTGGATTGACCGCGACACTACTCATGTAGGCGGCTCAAACAAATCTGCATATTCCTCCAGCAGCTTGGCAATGTGAGGGTCGATCGACTCTTCCTCTTTAGGCTCGGTAGCTGGCAAACATAGGCTGAAAAGACATGTTGTTCTAGCTACTGCTTCTTCACTAACCTTGTGAATCCAGGAGCGCTGAGGCAGCAATGTGCTAGGGAGTTGACGACTCCTGACACATGGAACAGGCGAGGAGTCTCGACTTCACCTGACGGACTAGGGAGCCTACACTCGTGCTCTCTCAAATGGAGTGTGGCCCCTGCTGCCTCTCCCCAATCCATTCCTAGGGCCATATCGAATGGGAGATTGTCCTCTACGAGGAGACTCAAGGAATGGACAACTCTCTCTACCTTCCCATCTTTCTCTAGGCGGAAATATGCCTGGACTCCCTCGACGTAATCCTCAATTCGCATGGTGCAAATGTCTGCTCGGATACTGACTATAGGTCCTAACTTTTGGACTTTCAAATTCAACTTCAGCTTTTGCAGCGCTTTACGACTCATGTAGCTTCGGGTAGCCCCACTGTCTATAAGGGGCCCTACCCTACCTCTAAAAACTTCTACCACTACCAAAACTAGTTGTCCCTTTCCATCCTTCTTCATCTTGGCCCAGGCTGGCATCCTCTCTTTTAACTCTTCTGCCACACCTGTGAGGGAAGTGCCTAGAGAGTCTCTAACGCAAGCGGTCTCTGGACAGCTATCTAGGCACTAGCCAGCAACCTCTGCCATAGACACATGTGGTTTGGGAGTTTCTCTATGGTGCGCGCACTCTTCTCCACATGGTCAAGGGGTAAGGGCAGTTGCAACCCCTACCGGCGGTTGCTTTTTGCTGGCAGTACTTAAAAATGTGTCCCGGATCACCGCAGAAAATGCACTGATCCACGTCTATTCGCCTTTGCCATACGGTCTGCGCCCAACGCTTCCCAGGGTATGCCTTGCGGCAGGCTAGGGTGCCATTCACCCCTCCTAGGAGGTGATTGATAAGAACGAGGACAGTTTTGCGGGGGACCTTGACCCTTACCTCCCTCTTGGCGGGAGTGGATAGTTTGCAGCTTGTCAGAGGCCTTAAACCCCAGAGTGACATCTGCAAATCGGTCGCGAAGTAATTAAAAAAAAAACTCTGGTGTAATCATAGAATAGGCTACCATGTCATTTTCACATTTGGCAGCACGGGCGAGCGATCGAGCGAAGCTAGATGCTTAGTCTCTGAGAGCGCGGAAAGCACTGAGGACTTGCTCCTGAGGGATGATGTCCTCGAGGTGCACGTAGGAGTTAACATTCACCTCCCAGTTATCTACATCTTCAAGCTGCTTCCCACGATAGGAGTCAAGGAATTTCACTTAGACTCGCTCCCTACGTGGACAGGCTTCCTCCTCCTTTGTGCATCATCATTTCACACACAAACTCTCTAAAGCCCGGGGGTATGGACTATAAGGCTATATCCTGGCCCCTCACGAACTGATATTGTTCTTGTTGGGCCTTTGCCAAAAGTTTTATATTCCTAGCCATAATTTCCATTTTTCCCTCCAGGTCCTTTTTTGCTCACTTACCACCCTCAACTCATTCTCCATCTTATTTGCCGCCTCCAGTCGTTGCCTCTTCTCCCTTGTGAGGCGCAACTTCCACTCCAACTTCTTTTCTTCTTCTATTGTCTGGCGGCGTAATGGGTTTTTTTCTGCCTCCAACTCCCTTATCACTGCCTCATGTTCTGCCCTCGGGACATACAACATAGCTTCTTCCTCTTCTCCCAGGGACAAATTGGCGACCCGCTCTATGAACCTTCTTTTCCATCCACTGGTCTTCCTTCTTCGTGCCGCTCGACTCTCCTCTTTCTCTTCTAACATACCTTTCCAAGGGGACTTCTTCCTCTACTTCTTCTGCTTCTTCTTCTTCTTCCACTGGCTTTAACTTTTCTTCTTCTTTCTTCAACTTCTCCATCTCCTCCTCCAGCTTCTTCTTCGCCACCTGCTCCTCCAGTAAGGCCAACTTCTTGGCCTGCTTAATCAACTTTTTCTTCGCCTCCTTTTCTTTTCTCTCTTTTACCAGGGCGGTGGCTTGCTCCTCTTGAGCCTTGCTATACCGTGTGGTGCTCATACCTGTTCGCGTGGTCACCATGATGATAGGTGCACAACCAAATGATGGTTCCACTCCTTACCACTTAAGAGTTTCCACCCACTGACTGACTAACTAACTGACTGACTCTCTAAGGACCACAGAGTCCTCCCCTTTAATCCAGCCAGGTTACCACAACCGACGGAAGCTTTCACCACCACTGTCCGTTACAATCCTCGACCCAGATGCCCTGCACCTGCAGTCAACCCACCTGGCTTTCACTCCGGTTCAGAACCCTGTCAACTAGGGCCTCTAGCCTAGACCTACGGCTATGGCTGTCACTACAGGACTTCACTGCTGATCAGGAGGCATTAAAGGAGATCAACCATAACTCCTCAGGAATTCTTTATCATCGTAGACAGGACGACGCGATCAGCGAGGCCTCTCAAGACTTAGACAACCGGTTGTACAGCCGACAACTCAGATTTTGCACCAACCACGCCACACAGAGCAGCCCGCCAATCTGTATCGGTCCTTGGGAGGGCTAGTCCTCCGGGACGTGTAAGTCGTCAGACATGGACAGCAGCCCTACTCGCCCCGTGTGTGTTTGGTCAACACAACTCTATGACCACATACACGAAGTTCCTATCACCTGGACAAAAGAGACTCAATGCAAAAAGAAGAGACAAACATACTCAGCAAGTACCATGGGGTGAGTGCACATCATAGGGCGAGGGGATAGGCTGAAGGCTTAGCGAAATTATGCCAACTCCAGCTTGATCAAACTTCGGTCAACAGCCTTGGTCAAAATCAACACTACGGTCAACGCTGGTAACCACCTTTGTCAACGCTAGTCAACATCTTGGTCAACGCCTCAGTCAACGCTGGTCAACGCCTCGGTCATCTTCGGTAAGCTCGGCTATGGCTGCCTACCCCTTCTCCTTCACCAACGTTCACCTTCCTCCTCTCTTCACCTTCACCCTTGGCTATGGCTTCTCTCTCCTCCTACGTCTCTTCACCTTCACCCCCGGCTATAGCTTCTTTTTCTTCCTTCGTGTCTTCTTCCTCCACTCACTTTCTTTCTTTCTTCCAACTCTATCTTCTCGCTCACTTCTAGTCTCCTCCTTCGTTTTCCTCTCCGTGTCCGAGCTCGGCGGCTATGGCCGCCACCTTCTTCCTTGAACTGCACAACCAATCTTGTATCGCTCCTCTCTCTCTCTCTCTCTCTCTCTCTCTCTCTCTCTCTCTCTCTCTCTCTCTCTCTCTCTCTCTCTCTCTCTCTTCTTCTTCTTCGTCGTCGTCGTCGTCATTGTGTGTGCAGGTACACGGCGTCTTCCTGCAGTGGCGCAACTATGGCGGTTCCTATTGACGACGCCGATGGCGGGTGGAACAGCGGGAACCAGCTCTGATACCAATGCAATCAGACTCTTCTTTCTTCCTCAGCATGCATGAAAACAGATGGCAATCACACTGGCGCCGAGCGCCCACACCAAGCTCAGAGATACCGTGGCCAGGAACACAGTCCAGATTCAACTTGCTTCAAAAGGCTATGGCGCCTGTGCGCCCTCAAAACACCCTTCCACGCTGTGTCCCCAACTGTTCACACGCACGCTACTCTGGATCTCCCTGGATGTCCCACACACGCACACAACTCACTCATACTCATACACAAACACGCTACAGCCTAACTCTAACCTAGTGCAGCTATGGCTGCTTGCTATCTCTACCACTAACTAGCGGCTATGGCCGCTTCGTCTCCCTCTCAGCCCACTTCTTCCTCGGGCACTCGCAGACCTCCTTGCACAGGCAGTGCTTCCGCACAGCTCTCAGTCTGAATGATTGAATAACTGGACACTGCCTCTTGATTTATACTTCGGTTGATCGCTGGTCTGCTCCTTTCCACCGGGGTTAGGGTGACACACAGTCCCACATGGTAGTTGCTGCACCGCTGACGTGGGACTGGGCACTGCTGACTGGACCTGGCAAGTCTGCGCACTTGCCCACTTGCCTACAGATTGCTTCTATGACTCTCGAAGGGGCAGTCCTAGATGACTCTAGACCTTCCTACTTGCCGTTTTGGTACTGTGGCGGCTACGTCTCAGGTTGAGCCTTCAGACCTACAGCAGCTACGACCAGACATAAGCTGCGACTTCTATCCTACAGGTAAGCCGCTCGAGCCTACTCAACCCTCGTATGTACAACAGCCTTAAACAGACAACTTTTAGGGGCAGGTCAGGGATTCAAACCTAGATGGGGCAAACTGTACTGTACACGGGTTCGGGGCAGGTCTAGGGATCGAGCCCTGGGATCTGCATCTGCTACTGCAAAGGTGAAAACTGTTTCACCAGGTAGGCTTGGGCTGGAAAGCAGCTTTCCAAAAGTGACGAGCTGAAAAGCAAAGCAAAGGAGTTTCTCTTTGGCCAGTTTTGCTTGACTGTGAAGAAGTAACCACAGTGAATCATCATCATCATCATAACTAAATGTCATAAAGGCTGCACATACGCCACCTTTGATGGTGGTGATTTTTTATCTATACATAGATTCTGTATTTACAAGCAGCGACGATGAGGGAATCGAGAACTACAGCACATTCATCCCTACAGCATGAGAGTGGCTCACATTTTGTGATAGCACGTGCACATACGTGCTTTAAACAGATGGGCACTTTGGACAAACGGGGAGAAGAGAGAGACGACAGCTTGAAATCAAAGTCAAAGCTATCAATTGGCATTGAAGATCACCTCGGCAAGAACATGACCGGGGTACCTTGTTTGGCCAAGCATGCAATGTACAAGCACTCGAGCTCCCTCCTGCCGGGCTTGTTCTGCAACCAAACACACATCCATATTTGACACTCAATAGAAGAATAACAATCCTCTTTTCACCACATGCAAGGCAAAAGAACTCATAAAATGCAAGGTGACTTACAAAATGAAAAACCATGCCAGTTGGCAGAAAGCACAAAAACATAACCTATTGCAATTAACTGATGCCGAAAACCAAACGGAACAAATTTCCAAAATAAAACAACAAAACACCCACCTTCTTTAGCAGCCAGTCCTCTAATACCAGAACTTTCTATCTTTTCTTGACTAAAGTGCATGGTCGTCAGGTCCCCCTCACCATTAGAAACACCCGGATAAGAAGCATGCAATGGCTCATCTACTATCAGGCCTTGCCGGTCAACACATGGCTCAGCAAGAGAAGGTCGGAAATGGCCAGAAGGGACTTCGACGATAGCTGTGCAGTCTGCGATGTCGGAACCCTTGAGGATGTGCCGCACTGTCTGATAAATGCACAAAGGCTTTGGAACAGAACGCGGGCGCTCTGGTCTGCGATTGTTAGCACACCACAGCCAGATAACCTGCTGACACGTCTAACGGGCCTGGCACAGCCACGTTTTCGAGAAGCTTGGCTTTTCACTCTCTTCTGAAGACTTTGCCCCTGTACGTTGTGGATCATATGGAAGACGCAGTGCAAACAAACGATAGCCGGGCACAACACCCCGACCCGGGAGGCCTGGGAGCACTTACTACAACTCATACGGATGGAGTACCAGGCAGACTGGCACCAGACAACCAAGAACATTAAAGAAGACACCGCAAAAAAGCAAATAATCATAGACAAATTCATCAAGACCAGCTCGGAACCGGTAAACTCGGCACCGTAGAAGGCTCTCCTCCGAGACTAGTACGGAAGCTGCAGGAAGAACAACAAGGGCGAGACCATATAATGGACCCTGCCTCATTATAAACAGCGCATTCACAGAACAGTGTGGCGGATATAAACTCAGCATAGAAGGCACAGAAGAGCTAGTGTTAAGAAAAAAGGGAGTCATTTCACAAGTAGTTACCTCCTGCCCTGATTGTGGTTTAGATAGCCCAGCTCCGATGGTTCATTCCACCCCTGGGAGTGCCTGTATTTTTCCGGTATTGTGGGCTGTTCCATCTTGCCCCAATCGAAGTTTGTGACCTCCGGTGTCCAGAACCTCTTGAGTGTAAGGAGGTGTAGTGTCCAGGACACGGGTGCGCAGGGTTTAGAGTTTGAGAGGGGTACTGCGGAAGTAAGGGATAGTTTGTTAACCAGCATTACACTCCTGAGGACTGCTCGTTTTTTCAGCCCGCTTAGGCCTTCCCTTCTTTTCTAGGTAGAAATTGATTCTTTCTTAATCCAGTTTTCCTTTTATAGAATTATGCTCAAGGGGACGCTGGATCCGGTTTCCAGCCAAGCCAAAGCTGGATAATGGCCCCAGTGCACCAGGTTGACTGGAGGGATTCCCGGCCTCCTTTTGCAATCGATAATATATAAGCATAATACCAAAAAAAAAACAAAAAAAAAAACGCATGGTCGTACCTTTACCTGGCCTGAAAATTACCCTGGATACAGCTACAATACCATGCCTTCTTTCTTGAGAGGAAGCATCATATGCCGGCAGTTTGTCCTCACAACAGGTGGCTTGAACTTGGGTCAATCTAAGCACCAGCACAAATATCTAGGACTGCCACCACTGCCTGTCCTGGCATGATTCTGATTGGTTCCTCCTACGCAACTGCTTGTGATTCCAGCCTCAGAAACTGTCTATTGATATTCTGAAAGGTAATCCTATCTCTGCCTGGTTTCCTTCTCTTCTTTGATTTTTCGAATCTCCACCAAGGGTAAGCATGGCAGATTATTGGCAAACCCCGACCGGTCAACTGCCAACCAGCCGACCGCTCGACCAGTTACCTTGCACCAATCAACATCGTCGACCCCTGCAAAAGCCAAGTATTCTTTATCTTTTTCTTCTTCCTTCTGTCTTCCAGGGATCCGTTCTTCATTCTTCAACCTCTCTTCTGATTCCATTTCAATAACCTTCTCCACCTTGAAATTCCACCTCTAGAGAGGCCTCACCTGCCCAATTCAGCTGACAATGGCTTGAGTTCATGTTGATGAAGCTTTTACCCCGTTGTCCATGACATCGACCGAGTTTTCCTTTCGCATTTTTAGCGCACAAAACATTCAGAGAATCAAGATCTGAATGGTGAATAAGGTCGCCTTTGTATACCCTACCACCTCATGCAGCCCGATCGACAAGCGACATACCTGTCCAAAGCTACTCTCCATACTTGGTGACGGAATCAAAGATACAAAAGATACCGTGCGTGATGCTTATTTTAAACTTTGCAACGGTAAAATATTCAGAGAATCGAGATCTCAACAGTGTATAGGGGCGCCTTTATATCTCCTACAACCTCATGCAGCGCGATCGACAACAGACATCCCCAGTGTGAGGCTACTCCCCTTAACCACCAGTACAACAGGGCCTGGAAAAGCCTTACTGCGCACCGAGCTTTTCCGAACCGGCAGCAGTGCACTTTTTTTCTTTTTTGGCTGGTACCACCAGCCATCGTGCTCCGGTAGGCCGAGCCATTGCGACAGTGCGGCGGGGACGAGTTGCTTTTTCTGGCTGGGGCCGTGTACTGGCAGTTTAAACCACCAGTACATTTCCCAACTATTTTTTCAGAGTCGCGGCGCATATACAGCCGTGACTCTCAGGAAGTACCCGGGTGCCGTTTCACTGGATATGCCTCCATGCAAAACAGGTCGCATGCAAGGCCCGTTTTGCCTGGATGTTATGATCCTGGCCACTTTCGAAGTACACATTCATCCGCAAGTACAATGCCGTCCACTTGCAAAAAGAAATGAATGAACTTGAGAGGAGAGAGAGGGTTAGAAGGAGAAGAAGTAGAACGAAAGATGAAGAAGATGAGGTACACCAGAATAGACCAATGAGAATGCTCTTCTTCACGAATCACTCTCCTCCTCTATATCTCCTCCTCTCTTATTCATACAAGAAATAATAGTACAATATTGAATGGCTGAACCAGAATCAATGTCCGAATCCCTCTTCTACTACAGGTATCACATGAGCTCCAACATAGCCATGGCCACCTCTCTTCCTCTTCGCTCTCATAGGCCGAGGCTATGGCGGACTATCAGGTATGGCCCTGCTGTCCAAAGGACAACCCAAAGCAGCTATGACTGCTCTAGCTCAGGCCGACATGCCTGGCTCTGCCTTGAAGCTTCATGGAGTAGCTCTGCCCCAACGGGGCCTTCCTGCCGCAGCGACCACCAAGGTGATGAAGATGGCAGCCACCATAGCCAGGTACGTACCTCTGGCGCTACAAGCAAGCGCTGCTCCAGCCAGCGCTCCAACCAGTGTGTCGCCAAACTTGCACACCGACAATGAGGCCGGGCTCTTTGCTCGGCCTGGAGATATAGCGGCCTGCTTGCCTCTTGGGCGGTGACTTCCAGGCCGCTCGGCCTCCCCTCCCTTTCGGAGGGAAACATCATTGCAGACTCTGATATTGCCCATACAGGCCCTAGACTCAGACTGGTTGGACTGGTACCCGCCTAGACCTACAACTATTGGGCCTCTAAAAATGCCACCTTTGTCTTCTTCTGCTAGGCCTCAAGTACCCGGCACATCTTCCTCTACAGGGTGTGGTACCGGCCTACCTGCTACTTGAGTGTTTCCCGCTGCTTCAAGTGTTGCGGGCCTCTTTCCCCGCCACTTGAGTGTTTTACCCGCTGCAATCCTCGATGTCAAGGCCACAGGTAAGTATCGCCCATGCGGGCCGAATGAACGAACAAGTGCCCTTGCGGGTCACACACACACTCAAGCCAACAAGCACTCAGACAGACATGCAGACCAGCAAGCATGCACACACACAGACTAAGAGAACTCAGTAGCAAGCGGGAAACTCAGCAAGGCATTCAGTCCACGAGCAAAACTCATAAATCAGCTATGTGTCTTAGTCCGTATTTGGTCAGGTCATCACACTACGCCCCCCTTAAAAGCAAGGTCCCTTCCAGCAAGTAACTCATTCTGAGTCCCCGACAAACGCAGCGTAAGCAAACAAAGCAAAGAGATTTCTTAAGTACTCCATCGCAGTGAGCTTTGCAAGAATTTTAGGTACAGCATTAGAGGCGATTTGTCGCTCGTCGGCCGTAACAACGCGAGGTGCACTGCGCAGCAGTTCCTTCTTGGAGATCCAATAGAGATTGTCCAACGTTCATCAAAAACAGATGGCGGAACCTCGTGGGGCAAGAAGCAGACAAAATCACACGATTACATTGGGAAAAAATCAAACACATCACACCAATCAAGATCAGAAGCATGCAATGGCTGATTGCTTACACAGTCCTGCCGGTGAATCAATGGCTACACATTAGACGGAAAACCACAGACCCAGACAGTCCAGAATTATGTGCAGTCTGTACTGAAGGCTCGGTAGAAGATATAGTCCACTGCCTAGTCCTCTGTAAAGAAGCAACTGAATACTGGGCGAGAGCGTCTTCACTGTGGGATTCCCTCTTCTCTTCTCCCTTCCCCAAACAACCCATTCAACTGCTCCTCTTGACTAACATCACAGATCAGGCTCGGAAGGCTTAGAGGACCTGGTTTGAACTCATCAGAAAGGTGACCCTATGGGTCATATGGAAGGAGAGATGCAGTCGAACAATTGAAGGACTCTCCAACCCATGGGAGAAAGTGTGGATAGAAACTAAAACAATGATTCAAGCCGAGACCCTGTGCAGATGGCGGAAGATCAAGCGAGCCTGGTCCGAAGACGAAGAACAGCGGAACAAGGAGAGGCAACTGGCTGGTGGATGGCAAGATTGGAGAATTGCGACAGCACCTAGTATGCTGGAAAGAATGGCATAATTCAAATCCAGGAAGGGGTTCCCAACATCAGACGTCGCTGGAAGGCTTAAGCACATCCTAGGCTGCAAGAGCTTAAACACAACCTAGGGGGTTCAGACGACGTGGAAAATGAGGAC